TTATGGAGTTCCAGGGGCTTCTGTATAGATTATTTAGGTTAATCTTTCTATCTACCTAATGGGACTCAGTGCTCAGTCTAGAAAATACCATCAGAGATGCGTAGTTTTGCAGCTCTCAAACTGTGCATTTGTGTCTCCAGAGGTAACATGTTTGCTAACAGCAAAAATGTTTTTAAATAAATAAATAAATAAATATGTAGAGGTGAGAAATAACAGACCTCAACCCTATTGTCCCTCTGCAAATTTGTGTACACAGAGTCAATCCCTTACCTCTCTCTAAAACTGCAAAGTTTCAAGAAGTTCAATGAATAGATGATTGTTGGCGGCGGAATAAATCTGGACAAGGAGAAGACGTCTGGAGGTAAATGTGAGAATCGAGGGCATATGCTTGTTTTGTTAAAATATTATATGTTTGCCGTTGAAGAAAAAAATCCAGAATACATAATGTTGTTTTACTTAAATAAAACAATTTAAATGTTTGTCTGGTGATGTTCTCCTAATACAGCATGGCAAGAAAATCCTCCAAATATTAATGATTAACCTGTTGAATTGGAGATATTTATGAAGTCATTGGGAGGTGAACTATCTGCTTCAATTACCTTTGGTAAATGAAATAACCAATCATTTATTTTTTGATATAGCTGTAAAACTAATCTGAAAAGTTTTCAAAATAAATCACTGTTTAAAAATGTATAGTGTGTACCTTCTAAAAATGAAACTTACATCTATCTCGGAGTTGTGAAGAATATGTATTAAGGTTATAACAACCAACAAGAATGCACTTTTATGTAGAAATCTATGATTAAATCGAGGCTTCCTGACTAGTGATTTAAATCATGATTTAAATCAAATCCACCCTGGTGTGAATTTACTGCTTGCACACACACGTGTACACTATTCTCATAGCAAGATGACTGACCAAGTATTATTTTATCAGCTACAACTGGTTAACAACATAGTAACATACGGGCGAGAGCTGTGGCGGAGGCAGGCCCATGCATACCTTCTCTTCAGCATGAGGCCATCTTTGGAGACATGACAGTGGAAATTGCATGAAGAACGAGACAGCAAAAACAGTGGGACAGTGAAGGAGCGCATGAGCAGAAAAAGCAGCCTGTTTAAAACGAGGCCATTACAACACAAAACGGAATTCATAATGAGTATCAGTAGCACCAGAGAACATCCTCACATAGGATATATGGAGTAGTCGAGCCATGCTGGACTTCCAAACCCTCAACAAATCAGGAAGGGCACAGTGCAGGAGTCAGAGCATAGGGCTGAGAGGAGGTGCATGTTCTATTACCGCTTCTGCCACTGACCCTATATTCCCCAGGGCAAGTCATTTACAGTTAATCTAAAAAGGGGGGGGAAATGGGCTTATGCCTTTTCTGGCTTCTTTAGTGGGCTTTATGGCCACCACAAGAATGGTTCCCTGAATGCGTTTTACATGACAAACGCAAGCCTTATCTATTCTGTTCTTCCCAGAACACTCTATAGACAACCAGGGAGCTGGCCGATTTATAGCATAATATATCAAGCAAGTGAAATCTGATTGAGAAGGGAAGGGATATGTATTCAGGCTGTTTACACTTTATTGGGCATCTATTTAATTCATACATTCTATAAACAGCTGGAAGAGAAGATCCGCCATCATTACCTCTTAAATTAAGGGCTGGGAAAAGTTCATAATACATCTCTGGGACCTCTAAGCCCTCTAGCACGGCCAGGGAAGATAAGACTTGAAATCCCTGATATTTCTGAAGTAAAACAATCATTTCTGAAGAGCTTTCCAGGCCTACCTTGTTCTAGAAAAGGAAAGGGGAAAACATGCTCTTTTGTCCTTTTTGCAAGTTATGTTTAACTTCTATTTTGGTTTGATCATCTGTAAAATGTGGACAATACCAATTCCAAATAGCTCAGAGATCCTCAGATGAAGAGCTCTAAATGTCTATTATAAAATGATTTCGTTTACTGGTTTAGCTGTAGTTGGTCTCATGACAGAACCATACCACTGAGGAAGAGAACCAGGAAGTTTTGAGAGTGTCTTCCTGAACCGGGCCTGGCTCTAGGCAGCATTATTAGCTTCTCCCCTTAACACATTAAAATTTAACCTAAAATTTAATTATTTTTAAAAAGGAAAGCACTATCTAACTTTCTCTGGTCTATTTAACCATCACATATGGAAGAGCTAACATTAAGATGAAGTGAAACAAATTACTACTTGATTTTATTCTATTCTTCTGGCCAAGTTGATTGAAAAATACTAGGTCATTCTGCACACGTGACAAAGATCTAGACACCAACTCAGCATGTGATTAGAATTCTGCTCTAGTTGTTGCATATTGGGGGAGACGCCCGATAGGCAGAAAGTTTATACTCCGATATTAGGCACACAGGAGATCCTGCACAGTGTTTTCCCAAAGCTTTTGGGACTGCCCCATAATACTAATTTTGTCTCTCTAATCCATAAACTCTAAGTAAAAGCGAGTGAAAAATCCTATGCTAGTTAGGATTTCCTTATGCCTGTTGAGTTGAGGTTATTGGAAGGTTTGGCACAGGAATGATTTGGAATTAGTTAATACCTTTTGTTCTGTTACCTAGAAGCAAATTCTGAGTTTCTGGATAATGAATCCCAATCCCACTGCTTTTATTAGAGATAAGCTCTGAACTGGTATCTCAAACTATTTCATTTGACATTAAACCTTATGAAAAAAACAAATGTTATGATCTTTGGTTACATGCTGATGATCAGGGATTTAAATGACACTGTTAACTAACATCACAAGTTCAGTGGAGGTTTAACACGCCATGATGTTATACAAACTCCCTCCATGCCATGGAAAGAAGCTCATCTATAATAACATTCACTAAACTGTAAGCAACAGTTGCATTTTTCTTTTTAATGTCACTTCTTTGGGGTCTTTTGTATTTATAGTAGCTGCTATGGTTTTTAACCAGTGTTTTTGTCAGTCTTATCAATCGTAAATGCTTATTGGATTCTGGTTTTGTTTAGTAAAATTGTCTAACTAAAAAAAAACAATGCAGAAAAATTTGCAGAGAGATGCAGCAGATTTTAGCCTTTATGTTAAGCAGGTCAAATATCAGTCACTGTTTCATAACGGTGTGAAATCAGACTCCGCATACATGGGACATAAAACTGCCCAAGAATAATAGGGCCAGTGTTTAATTTGAATTATAAATTCATCCATTTGCATTTATACTGAAGTCACATGCATTCCCCTTTTATCACATGCTTAACCTTTTCCAATAGGGCAGAACTTCTTGTTTCTATCAGTTTCACAGAGATGTCAAATATAGGAACTTCACACAGCAGGTTGTATTTGACTTTTCCACCTGAAAAAGTCAACTCTCCCTGCCCCATCTGCTTAGCTTTTCAAACACACCTGCTTCCACTCTAGACCACCATGATTTCTCCACCCACCCCGTACAACTTCTGGCAACACCCTATTTCCCCAAAAGGCTACTTTTATCCCAGACTCTAATACACTGAAGCCCCCACCATTTCCCTCCTAGACAGGGTCGGCAACCTTTCAGAAGTGGTGTGCCGAGTCTTCATTTAGTCACTCTAATTTAAGGTTTCGCGTGCCGGTAATATATTTTAACGTTTTTAGAAGGTCTCTTTCTATAAGTCTATAATATAATATAGAACTAAACTATTCACAGATTCATAGATTATAGGACTGGAAGGGACCTCGAGAGGTCATCGAGTCCAGTCCCCTGCCCGCATGGCAGGACCAAATACTGTCTAGACCATCCCTGATAGACATTTATCTAACCTACTCTTAAATATCTCCAGAGACGGAGATTCCACAACCTCCCTAGGCAATTTGTTCCAGTGTTTAACCACCCTGACAGTTAGGAACTTTTTCCTAATGTCCAACCTAGACCTCCCATATTGTTGTATGTAAACTAAATAAGGTTTTTAAAATGGTTAAGAAGCTTAATTTAAAATTAAATTAAAATGCAGAGCCCCCTGGACCGGTGGCCAGGACCCGGGCAGTGTGAGTGCCACTGAAAATCAGCTTGTGTGCCGCCTTCGGCACGCGTGCCATAGGTTGCCTACCCGTGCTCTAAGACATAGATCTATCAGCCATGGCAACACAGCCCTGAAGCACTTTAAATATACAGATCAATCAACTGCAAAATTTCCACCAAATCTCAACACACCTGGGAGCTCATAACTGATACTGAGGTCAGTAATAAAGCTCCACATTTAGTGTGCCCTTGACATCTCTTGATGACAGCTACATTAACAGGGAAACTTTCCCAGTAGGGACTGGATCCTACATTATTCTCTTCTGAACCATGCCTCATATTAACGTATGAAACGGGAAGGTCCAAAAATGTACTACTACTGTGAAAAGCACATGGGCTGAAGAATCATGGAATTCATTGAATAAAATGTGATTTTTGGTTGAGCAACATACACATCTTGAATCTGACATTAAGGTTCCTAAAAAAAACTTTATCTTGTATTCCATTAAGCACCCCAATTTGCTAACAAATTTGTTATTCCAGTCAAGTTTGAAGTGGACAAAAAGAAGGCTTAGGATGCAAGCCTCAATTCAATCTTAATACTATGGAGTTGTGACCAGCTCATCCATAATACCATTTGATTTTAATTTAGTCAACTACCTGTTCCAATAGTCAAAGACAAATGATTTTTCACTTAGTCTGATTAAGTTTCAATGCTAGTTCACTCTTTTCTATTTAGTGTCAGGAACTGTACCTATCACAGGTATTCGAGCACCTAAAACACCAAAAATCTGTCCTGGTACAACCCCTGTGGTCAGGCTGAGAAGAGAGAATGGCAAGTCTGGGTCTTAGGAAAGAGTCTATGCAGAAATACGTGCAAGGTGAAGAGATTTTGACTTTCCTGTGGCAGGGCTTCTAGTAAGTGTTCGCTCAATATAAACTCTGCCATGGATTACAGCCTGGGGAAGTGACCATTGCTATGTCTTAAGGGAAACAATACTCACTTTAGGTACTGTTTACAAGTCCAACGAGCTGTGGTGTCAGCAGAAACATTTCTTCCCCACATGTAATACTCAGCAAAGAAACTGTACAGCCAAAAAACAAGTTCTAAATTACAACCTAAAAAGACAAGCCAAACGTATACCTATGGTCCTGTGTACAACTGGGACTAAAACAGAATCAGAAACCTTGTTTCTTCTCTGAACACAGTGCCAGCTAAATCTGTTTCTAAATTTGTCCAGCCAGTCCAGACTGTGCTGAACAGTGGGTTATTTTAGCATTTGTTTTGGTTTTTTTAAATTACAATCTACAGAAGAAGAAAGCTAGGTGTGGGTCAGTGCACAGTGGCTGGCCAAACTGTGTTAGACAGGTTTACAGGAACCCTGTTTTTAAAAAATTTAACCAAGGGTCAATGGGTACAAAGCAGGCACGTTCTCATCGGTTACCGTTATTACCATTTAGGGGAAACGAAAGCTGCAACCAGTGGACTGAATCTACAGGATTCTGGTTACTGTGGAACTAGACAAGCATAAGGAAATCCTACCAAATGTAGCCCTTCTCTAAAGGTGCTTCAGTTAAATGTCTGAGGGCCTATCAGCTGCAAAAGGGCACCTAATTCTGTTTTAGCCACACCGGAAATGGGTCCTATAAAGAAAATCTATAGAGCAAAGGTGGCCAAACTATGGCTCTTTTACAGTAAAGTGTGGCTTGCGGATCCTCTCTCCCCCCACCCGCCCCATCCTATGCCTACCAGACGGGGGAGAGGGAAGGAAGCTCAGGGCTTCTGCCCTGCTGCAGGGTGGTGGGGCTTGGGGCTTCTGCCAGAGACGACTGGTGCCTGCTGCGAGTGAGAGGGGGTGTGTCAATTTAAAGATTCAGCTTCCACCCCCAACAACTTGAGGGGCTGATGTGCATGACACCGGAAGCAGCTCTGGAATGCAGTGTTCAGTTGCCAGGGAACAACCCTGGGCTGCTCCTCCACTTCTGCCTGGCTGGGGAAGCTTGAACTCAGTGGGCTGTAGTCCACGAAAGCTTATGCTCTAATAAATTTGTTAGTCTCTAAGGTGCCACAAATACTCCTGTTCTTTTTTTGAACTCCAAAGCGTGCTGCTTGCCTGGAACTAGAATTTAGGATGTGACTGTGTCTACAGAGACTGATCAAGCCCTTGGACCGCTACCCCTTCCTACTTCTCCACATGGGCACCAATGATGCTGCCAAGAACGATTGTGAGCAGGTCACTACCGACTACGGGCTCTGGGAAGAAGAGTAAAGGAGTTTGAAGCACAAGTCATGTTCTTGTCCATCTCCCATGTTGAAAGAAAAGGCCCATTGAATTGTGGAGGTAAATGCGTGGTTACACAGGTGGTGTCGGAGAGAGGGCTTTGAATTCTTCAACCATGGGATGTTGTTCCAGGAAAAAGGATTGCTAGGAAGACATGGGATCCATCTAACTAAGACAGGGAAGAGCATCTACGCAGGCAGGCTTGCTAACCTAGTGAGGAGGGCTTTAAATAGGTCTGCCGGGGGACGGAGGCCTAAGCCCGGAGGTAAGTGGGGAAGTAGGATACCAGGAGAAAACACAAGGAGGAGGCCTCCTGATTCATACTGATAAAGTAGGGCAATTGACTAGTTATCTTAGGTGCCTGCCTGTACACGAACGCAAGAAGCCTGGGAAACAAGCAGGAAGAATTGGAAGTCCTGGCACAGTTAAGGAACTACGAAGTGATTGGAATAACAGAGACTTGGTGGGGTAACTCACATGACTGGAGCACTGTCATGGATGGGTATAAACTGTTCAAGAAGGACAGGCGAGGGAGAAAAGGTGGACGAGTTGCACTGTATGTAAGAGAACATTATGATTGCTCAGAGCTCCAGTATGAAACTAGAGAAAAGCCTGTTGAGAGTCTTTGGGTTAAGCTTAGAGGTGAGAGCAAAAAGGGTGATATCGTGGTCGGCATCTGCTATAGACCACCAGACCAGGAGGAGGAGGTAGACGAGGCTTTCTTCGGACAACTAACAGAAGTTTCCAGAACACAGGCCTTGGTTCTAATGGGAGACTTCAATCACCCTGACATCTGCTGGGAGAGCAATACAGCAGTGCATAGACAATCCAGGAAGTTTCTGGAGAGTGTTGGGGAGGTGGAAGCGCTGGAGGAACCAACTAGGGGCCATGCTCCTCTTGACCTGCTGCTCACAAACAGGAAAGAATTGGTAGTAGAAGGAGAAGTGGGTGGCAACCTGGGCAGCAGTGACCATGAGATGGTTGAGTTCAGGATCCTGACAAAAGGAAGAAAGAAGAAGAGCAGCAGAATACAGACCCTGGACTTCAGAAAAGTAGACTGACTCCCTCAGGAGTCCATTTTGAAGCACTTGGAGGAAAGGAAGGTGATCAGGAACAGTCAACATGGATTCACCAAGGGCAAGTCATGCCTGACCAACCTGATTGCCTTCTATGATGAGATAACTGGCTCTGTGGATATGGGGAAAGCGGTGGACGTGATACATCTTGACTTTAGCAAAGCTTTTGATACGGTCTCCCACAGTACACTTATAAGCAAGTTAAAAACACGATTGGATGAATGGACTACAAGGTGGATAGAAAGCTGGTTAGATCGGCGCGCTCAACGGGTAGTGATCAACGGCTCAATGTCTAGCTGGCAGCCAGTATCAAGCGGAGAGCCCCAGGGGTCTGTCCTGGGGCCAGTTTTGTTCAACATCTTCATTAATGATCTGGATGATGGGATGGCTTGCACCCTCAGCAAGTTTGCAGATGACACTAAGCTGGGGGGAGAGGTAGATACGCTGGAGGGTAGGGATAGGGTCCAGAGTGACCTAGACAAATTGGAGGATTGGACTAAAAGAAATCTGATGAGGTTCAACAAGGACAAGTGCAGAGTCCTGCAGTTAGGACGGAAGAATCCTGTGCACTGCTACAGGCTGGGGACTGACTGGCTAAGCAGCAGTTCTGCAGAAAAGGACCTGGGGATTACAGTGGACGAGAAGCTGGATATGAGTCAGCAGTGTGCCCTTGTTGCCAAGAAGGCTAACAGCATATTGGGCTGCATTAGTAGGAGCATTGCCAGCAGATCGAGGGAAGTGATTATTCCCCTCTATTCGGCACTGGTGAGGCCACATCTGGAGTAGTGCGACAGTTTGGGGCCCCCCACTACAGAAAGGATGTGGAAAAATTGCAGAGAGTCCAGCAGAATACAGAAAGGGATTTATTCTTCAGAATCTCTTTACTTTCACGTTCTGCAGCAGGATGCAGCCCTACCACAGACCACTCTACAAACAGAAGAAATACAGCTCAGATAGCAAGTCCGATGACATCATCTTGAGGATCCAGAAAGAGGAAGATACAGGCAACACCGCCCTGATTCTGCAGTCAAACAATGAGGTTTATGTGAACTGCTGCACTTACACTAGCTAAGAAAAATTCATGAGTGCGATGAAACCCAGCTCTTCAGGGCATTAGCAAACCAACTGCCTACTGTTAGGAAGCAGTGTCCCTCCAAGGCAGACAATTGCAAGATTGGCCATTATGGATTGCCTTTCTTTGGTAGTTTGTTTTTGTTTTTTAGACCTCTCCGTAACAGACAAGGCCCCACCCTTCTTCTGAAGTACCTGATATTAGCCACTGTCAGAGACTGGATACCTGACTAGATGGATCCTGGTCTTGATCCTGTATGATAACGTCTATGTTCCAACAGTGGTGCTCTGAGTGTAATTATTTCTATTCTTTAAAGCACCTACCAAGTTTTCTGTTTGTTCATTCAGAATCACATGAAAGAGCAATGGAAGAGACCTCTTGATGACCAGGTGTAGAATGTACATCAGCACTTCACCAAACTGACTCAGAATGGATCCGATTTAAATTCATGTACAGAAAAAACACATGCAACTATGCGAGACTGAAGGTAACAGACACACACAGAATTACAAGTCTACCTGAGACCAACCCCGCAATGTATGAATTAGCGTTCCCCGGACAAATGGCAATTTCATACTCATGAGTGGGGGACAGTAGGGGGAAGGAAAAGCACATCCAGAAAATAAGCTGCTTCTAAATAAACCCATCAGCTTCATATCCCAGTCCAGAAGAAAGTGGTATTTCACTGTTGCATATACTTCCTTAACCATCCCAGAGCAGAGAATTATCTTGCCACAGTCCCATAAAAAAATAACAGCAGCACCTAGTTCTAATACTGCCCTTTTCTTCAATAGGTGTCAAAATGCTTTACAAAGGAAGGAAGAATCATTATCCCCATTTTACAGATGAGGAAGCTGAAGGCGCAATGACTTGCCCAAGGTGATCCAACAGGCCAGTGGCAGAGCCGAGAACAGACTCCAGCTCTCCCAAGTTCCAGCCCAACGTTTGCACTGAGCATTTTATGAAAGTCTCCCAGCTTTAATCTCACACTGGTAAAGATCACGTTTATCTTTCCCTTCTGCCCTTTGCTTCCAACTGAACACACAATTTTTCCCTCTTTTATGTTAAGAAAGCATTCATTGCCAGTTTATTCTCCCTGCCTTTTGATATGAAACTAAATTTTGTTAAAGGAACAGCAATTCATAAATTGGTCCATTGTCTTCATACAGGCTGGCAATTCTGCACTGATTTTTGCCTACATCACAGCGCATACTAGCATTTCTCTCTGCACATTAACAGTTGCTGCTACAGTTTCAAGAAAACAGCCACCACAGAAATGTTTAGGGCAGGCAATGCTATAACAAACCACAGCTACTAGCTTCATAAGTAAGAAGTCTTAAGAAATCCAGTAGCCTCTTCTTCTGACCCAATTGCACCAGCCCCAATCCAGTTACAAAATGAAACCAAGACTGGTGTTAAACTGCTGGTTGTGACAGCCCCATGACTGTTCAACAGCAGTGTCTGTAGACAGCTCCACTGGGAAAACCAACGGACAGTGACTTCACATGCCTGAGTGCAGTGTGCTCAGCTGATTGTCATTACTGCAAGGGAGAAGTGAGGCAAACTAACCCTTGGACTTTCTTCTAGGAGACAGAAAGCTGTGAGGGAGAATATGACAAGTCCCTGAACACTAGATTCCCTCCCCACATCACCTAGGAACCATTCCAGTCTGCCTTCCTTCCCCAGCATGTCTGAGCCAAGCCGGCTTACTTTAGAAAATAAATCCGGTGCTACCTGGTGACAACAAAGTGTCACATTTGTGTGTCAATAGTCTGGGTAAAAGACAGAAGAATATGCACTACAGGGCTCCATGAAGGTATAAGAATGATCAACTGTCTTTGCTCCAAATTCCAAGGGAAACTAGGAGACAGCTACTTCACAATACTTCCCTGAATACTGCCCAGTTCACCACCCTCCGTATTAAAATCACAGGTCTTTTCATTAATGAAATGTTTCTCCAGAGTGCATTTGAAGTCTTCCTTTGGACTGATACCACAATACAGCCTCCTGAAAGGAAATAAAATGTTCAGAATCTGTACACTGTGATGCAGAAGCTCAGTGCAAAGAAAGGGAAGTTACAGAGCAAGGGTATGTCTATACTACAGGAAAGAACCGGTGGCACCAAGTCTGAGCCCAGGTCAACTGACTTCCGCTCGTGCTACAGGGCTAAAAGCAACAGTGCAAATGTTTCTGCTAGGGCTGGAAGCTGGGCTCCAGCCCCCTCACCAGGTTCAAACCATGGGCTCCAGCCTCAGTGGGAACAGCTAAGCTGCTATCTTTAGCCCCATAGTGCAAGTCCAAGTCAGCTCTCCAGACTCGCTGCCAAGGGGTATTTTTTTGGCAGCAGAGGGTGTACCCTGAGAGAAGGCAGCTCATCTAAGTGGAGAAGCAGCATCTCCATTGGTTAGAATGGGCAGGAGCATTTCTCCATTCTTTATGCAGCTCTTGTCTCAGTGTGACACCATGGGCAACTCACAACTATCTAAATATTTACACCACAGTGAGTGTGGTATCTGAGCACTCCCAGCTTTGCAATCTCGCACTACCTCCATTTACCCTGTCTTTAAAATGGAGATAATACGTCCCAGGGTCACAAGGCTACAGTCAGTACTATTTGTCAAGTTTGGGATCTTCAGATGGAAGATACTACATACATTGGAAGTCTGTGCCCACACTACACTTCGAGTTACCACTTTGTAATATCACTTAGCTAGGACTAAAGCAAAAATTAAGAGCAGTATAGTTATAAATTAACAGAAACCTCTGACCTCTTCTCTTCCGAACATAAAAATCAGTTTAACTGTTCATAATCATCAGTGCCAGAGCACACGATAAATGTTTGCAATAACAATCAAGAAGGTAATCAACATGATGCAAGTGTCAACCCATCTCCTACACCCAAGGAGGAAGCTTTGGGGTACAGGATAGCTAAGTGAATTGGAGCCTCACCTGTCCTAGGACACCATCCAAATGTAGTGATTCAGTTGTTCCCATCTGACAGTTTAGTGACTCATGTGAGCAGATGGTTTCTGTCAGGTTCTAAGTACTGGAAGACTAGGAGGTGGCAAGCCCCAAAATAAAGAGACTGAATACAGTGAGTTGCTCGTCAGCTATTTCCTGGCCCATGACTGTTTTACAAAGATCCATTCCAGAAAAAGATAGTTCTGTGTCTACTTCC